ATATTTATAATACACTGAAAATGGGCTTTAAATATACTTAAATATATATAATAACACGAAATAAAATTATCCTGAAATTAAGTAGAAATTAATGACATAAAATTTGCACTTAAAATATACTTAAAGAGGCAAAATTTAAGGGTGTTTTATGAGCTTTTTACATATTAAATACAGTATATTTAAACATAATTTTAGCATTATTTATGGATATAAATATCTTACATAAAATATACTAAAATTATATTTAATTTATACTTATAATATACATGATTATATAGTTAAATATTCTTAAAATTCAGTATATTTTCAGTATATTTTCAGTATGCGATTTTTCTTACTGGGATTATATTTGGATCTACTATTTTATAAAACTTAAATGGATTCATTATTTTATAACTAATTTGATTTTTTAATATAAATGTATAACTGTAATGATAGTTAATATCCTACATATCTAATTCCTCAACTTTATCTACAAACTGATTTTTATTTACTTTATCTTTTGAAAAATTAATTATTAAATTCTTTAAAAATTCTTTAAACTTTTTAATTATATCTTGTACAATATCTTTGATCTTACAACATTGCCATAAATGATCATAAGTTTCTTCTTAAAAATTACATTTCTACCTATCATCATATAAATCAGGTTTATATTTCTTTAAATTCACACATATTGGTAAATGACTGCAAATAATAATCTTCAAATAATGATTAAGATATATAATAAAAAATGATAAATAATATTTATAATAAAATAAAATAAATAAATTATTAATTATTATAATTATACAATATATTTATATTTTATATATTGTATTAATAATTAATATAATCAACTGATTTTTCTTTATAATTATCATAAATATATATAATTATGTGGATTTTATGATTAATCTTGCAAAATGGCAGAATATTTATACTAAGATAATTATATTTTATATATATTTACCTGCTAAGTAAACTGACTATTTGACAGTATATATATGAAGTTTAGCTATATAAATAACAGGTAGTTTATATAATCAATAATATTAGAATAGTGCAATAGTTTATATTACTTGTTTTAGATATTAAATATAATTATATTTTTCTTTATAAATATATTTACATTAATTTAAATTACTAATAAACTTTTAATTATATTATATAATTATATTATTTTTTTCAGTTTTATTAAAAATAGACAAGAACTCTTCCCTGTACCGTTCACGTCCATTTTTCACATAAGAAATAATATGCTTTTTTTTCGTTAATTTACTAGAAAATTAGTACTTCAGTATTAAGACAAAAGTGTTCCTTGTTTTAACCAACACACTTTTTATTATCGTTCTTTTCAGTTCGCAAAGGTTTATAAGGCTTATTAGTCCTTTGTAGAAAAAAGTTTGTGGTTTTCTTGCGAAGTTTTCTTCACAAGAAGGCGTAAATACAGTGTACCAATTAGATACAGGATGCTGAATAAAGAAATTTTTGTCGGCTATACTTTTTTCCGTTCAGAAAAATGAAACAGTACACGGGGGCAGATATGATCTACTTCACCCGAAAAGAAAAGTCCTACATCCTTTTACATGTGGATTCGTTACAGAAAGAGAAAGATACATTGATGATTATCACCAATAATAGACATATAGTGAAGAAATATGATAAGCCATTTAAGACTAGTTCTGATAGGGCTATTATGAATACTAAATACAGGATTTCAAAATACTTGACAAGTGTATTTTGTGGGTTGCCTATTGATTTAAATGCTAAAAATAAGTATTTTTGCAGAATACGTCAATTATTATTGGATAAACTTGTTGCGATAGAAAATAGATTAAAGAAACAAGAAAAGAATAGACAGACTACAACTTATATTAAATTTAGTTATAGTAAATGAACATGGTATTTAGGGTTCTATATTCCATGTTCATTTTGTAGTAATGTCTGTGCTTATGTAATGTCAAACAATAGGAAAGTATGTCAAAATTGTCGTTCAAAGGTGATAGTAACACCTACAACTCCCACGCAAAATACGTTTAAAAATTATTGTCAAAGTAAACAAATAGTAAGTAAATGCATAGGCGTTACTTATACAAAAAAGGTTTCAATGGATAGTGGTACAGGTAACTATTTAGTTACATACTTGAATTTGGGTATTAACAAACAGTTCAAAACGATGAAAGAACAAGAGAAGTATAAAAAGAGGTTTACGAATAGCCTTAAAAATCATAAGAATAAATGGAATTACACTAATAATAGATTTGAGTCAAAGCCCGTAGTTTCCAAACATTGATTGAAACGAAGATGTGATATTCTTAAGAAACATTATATATCAAACAAGGAATTGGAGTTTCTGTTAGACCAAGTTACAAGTAGATCAGGATACAACATGTTGAAAGAAGATATTTTTATTAACCATTCCTTTAACAGTGAATATTTTCTTGAATTAAGAAAGAAAAAAGAAGCTGCTTTTGAATGTGAAGATATTAAGGTGGTAGAACAGTCGTCTAGTGCTGGTAAGAATACTATAGTCGACAACATTACCACAAATTTTCAAGAGCTAGAAATTAGAGAACAGGATAACGTGCTTCCTTGGCAAGAAATACTACATAGAGAAATACCGATTACAAGACCTGAATTTCATAGGGGGTTGAATAGTGTCAGAGATCTTAAAACTCTGATGACATATTGTAATGGAGTTAGAAACAAAAGACTTGCTTATAAATTGTCTTATAATTATGTTATTGGTCAGTGTGAAATAAGAGCTCGTAAGATACATATGGGCTGATTTGTCTACCTTTAATTAAAATATTAATTTTATTACATTTTTATTATACAAAATACTATATAATATACAGTAAATTGGAAATGAGTATTAAAAAATTTTTATTTAATGTTATTATACTATAATTTGGTAAATATTTCTTTTAAATTAATATAATTC